GATTCTTCCCTAACTGAGCCTTCAGATGAGACTGCAGCACCAGCAGACAGTTTGATTGCAACTGATAAGAGTCCTTGAGCCAGAGATACCTAGTAAGCTGTACCAATATTCTTGGTTTGCAGAAACAGTAAGATAATAAATGTTTGTTGCCTTAAGCCACTAAGTTTTGGGATAAATTGTTATGCAGCAACAGGTAACTAATAATCAATTAGTGAGAAATGATTTGGTCAAAATATTAATGAAGATGAGAACCAAGTAAGGTAAGCACAGCTGGGCATTTGCAAATCTAGTAGAAACATCTCTGAAATAGAGCTATAGGTTTGGAACTTGGTGGAGTATTGTTACAGATTGAATTGTGTCCCCAAAAAATGTGTGTCAACTTGGCTAGGCCATGATTCCCAGTATTGTGTGGTTGTACACCATTTTGTGATCTGATGTGATTATCTTGCGCATAGTAAATTCTAATCTTTATGATGTTAATAGGGCAGGATCAGAGGCAGTTATGTTAACAAGGTAGGACTCAATCTACAGGACTAGGTTGTACCTTGAGTCAACCTCTTTTGAAATATAAAAGAGAGTATAGAGCAGAGAGGAAAGGGATCTCCTACCACCAAGAATGAAGAACCAGGAGGGTAGTGTGTCCTTTGGACCCAGGGTTCCTGCACTGAGAAGCTCCTAGACTAGGGGAAGATTGATGACATGGACCTTCCCCAGAGCTGACAGAGAAAGGCTTCCCCTGGAGCTGGTACCGAGAATTTGGACTTCTAGCCTCCTAAACTGTGAGAGAATAAGCTTCTGTTTGTTAAAACCATCCACTTGTGGTATTTCTGTTATAGCAGCACTAGATAACTAAGAAAAGTATGATAGACAAGATTCAAATCCCAAGAACTGCCCAGTGAGGAGAGTCTTCCTGATTTTCCTTTAAGCTAGCACAGAAGGGCTCGTACGTCGGGAAGGTGTGAGCCAGAAATAAAACGTCTGGTTTCACATCATCTAGGTGGGCCTGGGGGACCCTGGTGACACAGTCATTAAGAGCTACGGTTGCTAACAAAAAGGGTGGCAGTTTGAATTCATCATCCACTCCTTAGAAACCCTATGGGGCAGTTCTACTCTGTGCAACAGGGTCGCTGTGAGTCAGAATTGACTCGGTGGCAACGAGTTTTTTTTTTTTTTTGGTGGGCCTCCGTACTTAAAGTTTGAACTTGGAATACTGTCGTTCTGGATGGGCTCAGGGATGTGGTGTAATCACACAATTTAAATAGCCACATGTGGCTAGTGACTACTGTATAGGATGGCACTGTTATAGTAGCAGCTTTTTATTTTTCTGATTTAATCTGTTCTTTTCTGATTTAATCTAATGCTTTCTCAAATACATATTGATTTTCTCAGGAATGAACCAAACAACTTTTAATCAGAAAAGATCAAGACTGCAATCTCTACACCCCCTGGGAATGAACTAAACTAAGTTTATTTGCCCCTAAAATTATAAGCAGCTTGGTTGTACCCCCAAGTGGATATAAAATATTAAGTCATTTATCTTTTCTAATCTTTCAACCTCTACATGTCATGTGTTACGGATAGAATTGTGTCTCACGAAAATGTGCTGTAAATTCTAACATCTGTGCTTGTGGTTATAATTCCATTTGGGAATGGGCTGCCTTTGTTATGTTAATGAGACATGATCAGTGTAGTTATTAGGTGCCATTGAGGAGGTTCCAACTAACAGTGACCCAATGTACAACAGAATGAAACACTGCCCACTCCTGCACCATCCTCAGTTGTTATGCTTGAGCCCATTGTTGCAGCCACTGTGTCAATCCATCTCATTTATGGGCACCATCATTCTCTAGTCACTCAACCCAGAACTTGAATCTTCTTTTTCTTTTCCCCAATACAACCAGTGGGCCACCTGCACTTGTTTATAACACCTTCTAAATATTTTTGGAACTTGTCCTCACCTCTATCCCATAGACACTGCTCAGTGCAAGCCCACCTGGCCTCTCACCTGGATCACTGCAATAGTTTTTAACTGTGATTCCTACTTCCAAATATCTTCCACATTGCAGCCAGCTGGGTGGCACAATGGTTAAGCACTTAACTGTTAACAGAAAGGTCTGAGGCTTGAACCCATCAGCTGCTCCTGTAAAGATTACAGCCTAGGAAGCCCCATGGGGCAGTTCTACTCTGTCCTATAGGGTTGTTATGGGTCAGAATTAACTCTATGTCACACAACTACAACAAACCCTTCAATGATTCCATATGAAGACCTGCCTCTAAGGATAAGTTCCAAGCTCCCTGATGTGGTACACAGCAGGCTTCATGATCTGATCCTTATCCTCTTGGGCTCACTTCTCACAACTGCTCCTGCACTACTCATCCCTCAAAACTCACAAATGCATGCATTTCTTCTTCCTGCAATGGCACTCCTTCTCCTTTTTTTCACCTTGTTCTCATGAATTCTTTGAAATTCAGCTCAGTGTTTGAGCAGACTTGAAGGAGATGAGGGAAGAGCATACCACACGGAGAGAACAACCAAAAATAAAGGATCTAAGCTGGTAGTTGCCTGATACATTTGAGGAAAAGCAAGGAGGCTGGTGTGGCTTGAGCAGAGAGAACCAGGGCTGGAGTAGGTGATGAGGTCAGGGAGATAGCAGGAGACCAAATCATGTAGGACTTTGTACTACCGTATAAAAAAGTTGGCTTTTAGTCAGAGTGAAATCGAGAGCCATTGTAGGGTTGTGAGAACACTGACTTGTTTTAAAATGATCAGTTTGGCTCTCATGTTGAGAACAGATTATAAGAAAACGGTAGAAGCAGGGAGACTGGTTAGGAGGCCGTTACAGTAATCCACCTGAAAGATGATGCTCAGAACAGGTTGGTAGAAGTGAAATGGCAAGTGGTCAGATTCTGGATTTATTTTGAAAAGAGTAATCCATTTCCTGAAGGACGGATGTGAGCTGTAAGAAGGATTCCAAGGTTTTCGGCCTGAGCAACAGGAAGGATGGAACTGCCATCAGCTGAAATGGTGCAGGTTGTGAGTAGCAGGTTTTGACAGGAGTCAATTTTATTTTGCAAATGTTGAGTTTGAGATATCGCTCAAACATCCAAACCCCTAGAAGATACAAACAGTTAAGTGATCAGCTACTAACCAAAAGGTTGGTGATTCAAATGCACCCAGAAGTAACTTGGAAGAAAGTTCTGGCAACCAACTTCCAAAAGGTCACATCCACTGAAAACATTACAGAGCACAATTGTATTCGAAACACATAGGGTCACTATGAGTTGGAATTGACTGTACGGTAACTGTTTTTTTTTTTTTAGGTTTATCAGACATCCAAGTGAAGACGTGGAGTAGCCAATTCAATATATGTGTCTGGAGCTCAAGAATGAGATTAAATCTAGGCTAGTGACATAAATAGGGGAATTACTAACAAGTACATGATCTTTAAAGTCATGAGACAGGATGAGATCCCAAGGTAATGAGTATAGATGGTGATCTCTCTCCTATTAGGCAGAAATCTCTTGGAAAATAGTATTCTAACCACTTGACCCAATAGAAGCTCCATATTGGGATTTTTCACCTACAAGTTCATCCCACTAAATAGAGAGAAAAAAAAAAAAAGAAAACCACAAAACCCAAAGTTCAAGATGAAAAGGCGAGAAAGCACTCAAGTACTTGTACGGTTTTCTCCTGAGAGGTGCAGAAAAGCAGTCAATTTAGAAATGGTGGGAAAGATGCTGGGCATAGGATTTATCTACAACTGAGAGGAAAGAGGGCCTCTTCCTTCTGTACTCTTCCAGGATTTCTCAAACAAGGAAACTTCAGCTTCCTAGATTTGGACACATGCAGGAAACTTGTATGATAATGAGGATTTTTTTCCTTTTCTTCCTATGTTAGTAACTATTCCTCATCTAAGTTTATATTTCATGTAGGATTTCATAGACTTAAGACTGAAAGAAGACCAGGAGATCGTTCAGTCCATTCTTCAAATTTTAGTAATAAAGGAAAACAGGTCCCAAAGATATTTAGCGGCTTACCAAGCTCCACAAAGCTTGCCAGAGAAAAGGCTAAGAATAGAGCTGAGTCCTTTTCAGTGTTCCTTCCACCTAGCCACAATATTTAAAGACTCACTAATATATGTATTTTATTCAGAGGAAAAAAAAAGGTTAAACATCACAGTAGACAGGAACATAAAGCTGCCAATGAAATTTTTTATTAAATACCAGCAAATACTAGCCCCTGAAATTCAGTGTGAATATAAGATTATTTACTATAAAGATTATCAAACTAGTAGAATACTGATGACACTCTTAAATTTGATTTGATATCTCAGATGCCTTTTATAACTTATTCAAGGTCAGGAAGTAGCTGATTCAGTCTGGATAAGATGTTCCAGGAAATGTGTGAATCCCGGTAAGAGTTCTCAGTTGCTCAATTTCAAAGGAAATAATTGCATTTTCAGAATGAGATTTAAAGATTGAGTTATTTACTCTAGGTCCACAAGTACTATTTTGAGGTGACAGATACACCTTTTGAATGTTTTCTTCTAACTCTTAACATGACAAGCATTCAAAAAATGGGTTTATATAAAGTAAATTTCAAGATTATTTTAAAAAGAAAAAAAAAAGGCATTTTTCAAGGGGCACATGTGGGACAAATTTTTGACTTCCAGACTGGATTTGGAACTATGTCTTCTCCATGAGCAGGTTTGCAGAACTACAGCTTTAACTTGAACAGAAGGTTGGTTATGTATTACATGGCATTAACTTAAAACCAATAATCCTGAAAACCAATAACCAAGGTTAAAATTTAGGGGAAACAATACTATATGGTGTTAACCTTGCACATCATACAATGGGGGCATGCCCTAACAACTTCCACCACAAAATCCAGTATGATACTTTAAACACAAAAAACAATAGATACTATCAAAGGGTGAATTGAAGAAGCCATGTCAACAATATATTTGTCTTTAGAAAATAATTTTACAACTTTGAAATTTTAGTGTCATTTTATGCTACAAAGCTTTATTTACATAGTTCTTTAGAATATATTTCAGTTGTCCCCACTACTGCAAATGTAAAATGACAAATAGATAACATTTATAGGAAAACACAGAACAGAGGAAAACAATTCTACAATATAATATATACAGTGCTATTAGTGGTTGTTATTTTTATAGTCTTCTTTTGGGGATAATCTACTGAATTTTTCTGCTGATAACGTTTCAGAGTGAAGCAGTCTTCAAGAGTAGATTTCCAAAGAGAATCAAGAGTCCACCAGTCCAATATATTTTACAAGTGTTATTTCACAGTCCATGAGTAGCTGCAAATCATTTTTTACCCCATTTTTTTTCAAAAGGATTGGATGATGAAGAGGAACCATGACTTTCACCACTACTGTACTGCTCATATAAAGTCTGAAATTAAAAATACATAGACCTGTTCTGTAATTTTTTAAATTCAATGTTTTATCAGATTAGTAAAGGTAACTCTACATATTCTAAGTACATTTTTTTCTCTCCTGTTATTATAATTGAAACTGAGCAATAAGAGACAATTTTTAAACACCTAGCTTGGCTTTTCTATAAGAGAAATGTAACACAGCTATTAGTAAACATGTATATGAACCTCCAAATGGATCCCCTTTACTTTTTCTTAAATAAAGTCTGTCTTATATAAATTCCTAGGGTATAAAACAAACTCGTTAGGAAACTTGATATATACTTTCAGATGATATTTAAACTAATGAACGGGAGACATTAAAAACATGCAAATTGTTATACAAATAAGCATAATTAAGCATATTAAAATCTATGCACTTAAAAAATGTTCTAAGGTTCAGCCCACATCTAATTTATGAAGATGACAAACATCTTTGCCCTCAAAGGTAACTAATCCACCTGAATTTTATTTATAAAAGGGTTTAAACAATACATTGGTAGAAATTTAAAACATGAAGATATTAAATACAGAGCAAATTTATAACACAAATACTGCCCAATTTTAATTTCTAAATCCATTGACTTATCTGTCAGCAACTGAGAAAATTTAAGGAAATTTTTTCTTTTTCTCATATGAATGCAAATATAATAGTGAACCTATAGTAAATTCCTCCAGAAATGTGTCCAAGTTCTGACAACTTAGACTAGCTTTACCCCTATATAGAAAGCTAAGAATTTTTTAGTTTGAGCTCCCATAATTTTATAATAATGGTATAACTGAATTATAATTAGTAACAACTTAGTTAGGTAAACCAGTTTGTATTCATAGGGTTCTAGAAATGACTGGATGTTTGATAACAATGATGTCTGAAAATTATGGTATAGATACAAACAAGCATTGGAAGGCTGAAAGGCTTGAGACATTTGCTTTGAAAATATATTAATTGTTACCTGCAGCGTCACAGAAGTCATTACATATAACAAATATTGTAATTTCTCTAAGATGGATTAAGAAAAAAAATTGGCTAGAGGGAATGAATTCAAAAGCTGTGTTAAGAGTGGTTTTAAAAGACATTCCTTTATTGAATTTATTCCAGTTGAGAATAAATTCAAAAGACAGCAATCTTTTGAATATACTTTATATGACAATACAGTCGGAACTGTGCTGTTCACAGAATAAGAATGTAAATCAATTAAATCTATTTGTTAAAAAAAGCATATGCTAAGTATTTAAATGTAGAAACATATCTCATAATGTATCAGATGAATGGACCAACTTTTCTTTGGATTACCTATTTCTTTAAGTGTCTAATGCACTAAACTATATAAAACAGCTAAAATTAACGCAGATACAACATAAGCATACTTACTCTAGCAGCTTTCAAAATGGAGTTAGGAGAATTCAGACCAACGAGTTGGCCCAGAACATATTTCATTTCTTCAGTAGTTCCCTTACTCATCTGGTTACCTATAAAATAAAGATAATAAATAGCACACCAGTACCAATAAGAAAAAAATAAGGCCACATGTAAATACACATTCCGATTAACAGCATAATAATCGGCATTCTTGTAATTTATTACTGATGATAGCCCCTTACCTAGGACAAGTAAAAATAAATGCTAGCAAGTAAAGAAAGGCAATTTCATTTACTTTACTATTTAGCATAATAGGAATTCCTTTAAGGGAGGAGGCAGGCTGGACAAGAGTAGCCAATTCAGATTCTGTTTTTATCAAGTTTGAAGGCTGTTTACATTAGTATTCTGATAACAAACACAGTTTTTTTTTAAAAAAAAAAGACATACCTGGATGAGTTTGAATTTGAACATACGGATGCACCAAGAGCTCAGGAATGGATATTCTCTTTTTAGGGTCCCTTATCAAACAACACTATAAAAATAAAGATCAATTTTTTTAGGACAAAGTAGGTTTTCTTATGTGATATCGATACAGTATTTTTCCAGATTGTACCATATTACAGAAGTTGCTTTCTAGATATCCCACTCATATGGCAATGACAAGATTATTCCCCCTAAATCACTCTTACAAGATCCCCAAGTATTCAGAAGTTTTAAGCACCTTCAAAGTGAAATTAACATGCCTTAAAAAGCTAATTGAGTACGCAATTCCTTTCATTAGACTAGTTATATCTAAGTCAGTTACATGATTCCAATCATTTAATGCCTTTCTTTTAATCAATTAATTATATGAAATATTTTTCCATATCCATATAAAACTAAAACCCATAACCAAACCCATTGCTGTCGAGTTGATTCCGACTTATAGCGATGCTATAGGACAGAGAAGAATTGTCCGACAGGATTTTCAAGAAGCAGCTGGTGGATTCGAACTGCTGACCTCTTGGTTTGCAGCCAAGCTCTCAACCACTGTGTCACCAAGGCTCCTCCATACTTATATACTAAAGGGTAATTATTAAGATTACCTTTAACACATCTTGAAGATCTTTCTCTGGAATATCAGGAAATGCAATTTCATGATTAGGGTCAATTATGGCATGTAATTTAGAAATTTGATTAATTATGTGCTGGAATGGTGTTTTCCCATAAGTCATATAATACAGAATGCATCCTAAGGACCAAACGTCACTTTTAGGACTTATCTAAAAAAAAAAAGGTGCTGTTATTTTAATATAAAATGTAAAGTAAGAACTTTTTATAGTCAAACACGTGTATGTATATATACACACATATATACATACATACGCCCTAATATTTAAAATCGTAATTAGATCTCAATGAATATACCAGTGCGTGGCAATGAAATTAAGTACTAGGCTACATTTACATGACAAAACATCTTTTTCTAGTTTGGTTATTTCAAAGACGATGTATTTCACTTTAAATGTTTCAACAAACTCATAATTAAAAATTTTCTACTGAAAAAAAATATTGAATTCTTGTCAACTTATAAAAATACCAAACTAAAAAAGTTGCAAAACTTAAGTTTAGTTGTTACTCCCAGAATTATTAGAATATAATTGAATGAGTTTTATATAAATTCAATGTATAGATTTTCAAAAGGTTATTTAAACCCAAAAGCACAAACTGTAGAACCAAGCTGTCTTGTCTTGCATCCTGGTTTTATCACTAGCTGATAATTCTATCTGTCCCTGTTTCATCACTTCTAAAACAGAAATAGTAAAAGTAGGTTATCATGAGTATTAAATGATATAATCATGAAATGTCGTTAAGGATAGGGAATAGTTTTTGGTTATAGTAAGTACTCAATAAATATAACCTTATTAAATGTTCATCGTATTAAAGTGCTATTAGAAATAACCAAAGCAGTATTATAACATATTACCTTTCTGACTTTAAAAAGAACATGAATACGACCAAACACAGGAGTAGGTGTAATAAATGAGAACAGCTAACTTCCTCTTTTAAAAGATACTCAAATACACATTAAAACACAAGAAAATCTTGTAATATCCTCTCCACAAGAAATAAATCTTAAAAAAAAAAAGACATAGAAAGTTGGGAGAAAAAAAGAAATGAACAAATGTTAACAGGAGAGATAAAGCTATTTTATAGTGATAAAAGGTAAAAATCAACCAAGAGATATGATAGTTATGAATGTCTATGCTCTGAAATCACACTTAATATGACTATATTAAGCAAAAACTATATTATTTTGGGGGGTGATTTTATAATGCCTTTCAGAATATGACAAATGAAATAGATTTTTAAAAATACAGAGATTTTGACTAAAGATTAATGTCAATATGAAAGATATATGAAATATAAAGAAATTTATACTCCATAGAGAAGATGTTATTGAAATACCACAGGACATAAAAAATTAATTTACAAAGAATATTTTGTTAAATGACAAAGAAAAAATTGTTCAGATCTCATTATCTGAACACGATGTAAAAAAAAAAAAAAAAAAACCTGAAAATTAATAAAAATGACTTCCTCTTACCCCGATTTAACTACCTGGAAATTAAACTCATTTCTAAATAAAACATGGATTGAAAAGAATTTCAGATTGTGGGAAAATGGCAATGGCAGTACAGTTTTTTTATTTCTCCAAATTCCTAGATAAAAGCAAAGAGAGTAGACTGAGAACAAAACCAAAAAACATATGGAAAATATCTAAAACAAAGTCAGGTAAAAAGTATACCCGCAAACCCCAAAATGTAAGTAGGGTCAGAAGCCATACACCACAAGACCTGTTGGTAGTGCACTTGAGGCAGAAAGCAGGCAGAAGCAATGTAGGCACTGGATGGAACTAAGAACAGAAGTCCAAAGTAGTCAACAGATATTCATTGCTGTGGTGGACCAATTTGAGAACAGAGCTAAACTGGGAAGGGCTTTGTTCTCTTTAGTAGCAGAGACTATTTTACATGTTGTGATAAAAACCTGTTTTCTATTCCTAATCAAAAAGGCCACTGGTAACAGGTGGTTCAAATGAGTTGAGATTTACTATTACATATTAAATCACTGAGTTGACAACTGATAAAATCTGAACTCTATTGTTACAACTCAAAATAAATCTTATTTTGAAGCAAAAAAAAAAAAAACCAAAAACAGAAAAAGAAACAATTTTAAAGCTGAAAATTACAAATTTTAGAAATTAATAAAAATAACACCACAGTAAAACCTGTGGCCAGCAGCTAACATCAAATTCGGAATAAAATTCCTAGTTTTAAATTAAAAGCAAGAATACTAAAATTAAATTAGCAATTATTTAAATCTAGATGCTAGGAAAATAATTAACCTAAAGAAAACGCAAAGAAGAAGTTAACAAAGATAAAAGCAGAAATCAATTAGAAAACAAATAAAATTAGAACTGATAAATGAAACCAAGGCCTGGTGTTCATGATCAACAATCCCTTATTAATTAATACTAACGAAGAAAAAGAAAAAAAGACAGAACAAATTCAAGTATTACCAAAAAAAGGGAAGCTAAAAGAGAGAATATTTGGTATAACTTTATCTCTGTTTTTCGAAAGGATATTTAAAAGTCACAACTTTCTAGGAAGGAAAATATAATTCAGCAAATAAAAGCACATTTATCAAGTAATTATTTTGAGCTGGACAATGCACTAAGTGCTTTATATTCTTTTTTATTTGGTCCTTAATTTCTTTTAAAATAAGTACTGTTTACAAGCCCAATTTACAGATGAGGAAAATTAGGCAAGGTAAGTCACTTGCCCAAAGACAGTTGTTAACAAAGAGGCAGAGCTATGTCTTGAATGCAGGTCCCTGGGACAATAATGTGTGCTTGTATTCACTTGGTTACATTGCTGCAGGGAGAGAAAGTTAAAGCTTGGGAGCTTTAGGCATTACGGAAGGCAAAATGGGCCCCTGACACAGATCACAAAGCTCACCGAGGTGGTGGCTGAAATAAGGTAAGTGGGAAAGTAGCCAGTGGCAGGACCTGGCTTGGAAAAATTATATACACCAATTGTACTTGAAAATATAGAATTCACAAATAAATAAACAAAGCAAATTAAAATGTAAGAATCAGAGAGGAAACAAAAAGGACTTCAAAGGATATCAATTCGATGTTAGTTTTAGGTATCCAAATCAGAGCTAAATTATTTTTAACTTTTTCTTTAATTTTAAAACTCAAAAATTATTCTAAGGCTAATTCTTGTGGGAGCATATTGTGAGGTATCCCCATACTAAAAGCACAGTATTATAGAACAATCTCAAGTCAATAAAAAAGGGTGAAAATGAATCCCGTAACAATCTGCTTAAGAAGGCAAGGTTTCTGCAATGGGCTGAAGTTTTAGAACTATTTTAAATCAGTAACCTTCAGCTATCAGGCAAGCTTATTCAGAGAACAGTCCATTCCCTATTGATGCCAGATGAACGGAATGTAACCAATCTTTACAGTACCTTTGATTTTAATTTTCCATTCTCTCTTGAGGAGGACATATCTTTGATCGCTTCTGGAGGCATATAATTAACTGTGCCAACCTATTTGAAAAGTCACAGAAAACAAATTAATAAAAATGTTTCATTCTGTTTTGGATTTTTTAGAAACAGAAATCTGAGAGTCTTGGAAACTTGTATGATTACAGATCTCATTATTTTACCTGAAAAATTAAAATACTTTCCAACGATGTTAAGATATATGTCAAATTTCTTCACGTCAGTGAAATAAATTGGTTAGAAAGTTGATTCCTTTTAGAATGCTGAGTTTGTATATTGTTATAGAGGGCAACTAATAATATCTGCCTTAAAATCTGTCTGGTCTAAGGTTATATTAATGGCTCTAAAATTTGAGGGACCTGATCAGTCATTTCTGTGTCAGAATAGACCCACAATTTTTAATAGACCAGCCAACGAACCAATATACAAAAATAAATAAATAAATCTGGCACTTTCCTATAATAGAATTATGTCACTTTATAATGCTCTAATTTTATTTCTAAAATACATGATTCTGCTTTCAAACAACACATAATACTTAGGGTCTTGCCATAGAATATATTTTTGAGCTGATTTACAATTAAATGTTCTGCCATACTTTTGATATAAAGAGAAGTAATAGTTAAATAGAATTCTTTGAAGGGCATGCTGTCCATCTATTCCTCCTAAAAAATTTTAGGTTTACTTCTAGGATTAAGGCAGATCCACATCAGAAATTTGTATACACAAAACATATTACCTTGGTTCCAAGCAGGACTACTTCTTAGTTATACTTCTCTGTGATTGCTTTAGTTTTTATGAGAACAATTTCAAAAAACTTTATTAAAATGCTGTTGAGAACAATATTTATTATGATACTTTCAATATGACAGCCCACTTAAGAAATTTATTTCAAATTTAATTGATATGAAAAGCTTTGCTTCTCTGAGTGAACAGAAATTCATTACCTCATGGACAAGGAAAAACAAATAACTGCAGTTCCCTCTTTGCTTGCTACCAGGAAACTCTAAGCCAGATTTTCAGGTCAATTTTAGATCATGACCAAGATGATTTCCAAGGCAGTTATTAATAGTTCTCTACCTTAGCTATAGGAAGATCATTCAAAATGGCTGGATACTATATTTCTACGTGATCTTAACTTTCTACTGTAAATTATGTTAATCACGGTTTTGATTTTTATTTTAGTTACAGTATGCATTTCTTATAAAAAGGCTTCAAATCCTTTGAGGAATGAGATAGGTAAAAATAAACCCTATTAGCAAAACGGAGCCCTGGTGGAGCAATGGTTAAGCATTCGGCTGCAAACTGGAAGGTCGGCAATCTAAATCCACCAGTCACTCCTTGAAAACCCTATGGGGCAGTTCTACTTTGTCCTACAGTGTTGCTAGGAGTCGGAATTGATTTGACACCAAAAGGTTTGTTTTTTTTTTTTAGCAAAATAATACTTTACTGTGAAAAGGAATTGAACTCTAGCGTGGTAACCAATAATACTCATTAAAAATCTTACCTGAGAATCTTTCACAATACTTGTTGTATCTGGTTGCATTTGGTTTGCAATCCCAAAATCAATTAGCTTTAGCATTCCATCAACTATCAGAAAGTTAGCAGGTTTCAAATCACTGTGAACAATGCCTTCAAAATAAAAACCCATTATAATATTAGACAATGTAAAACATTTTAAAAGTAAGATATTTCACCATCTACAGGTCGAGTTGATACCTTCAGTCGGTCAAACCAATTATTTATTTCTTATATATTCTACACTTATGTACCACCTGCTTTGTGCCAGACACTGTTCTAACTACTTTGCTGGTTCTTTATCATTTAATCCTCATAATATTTCAGTACTATTATTATCCTAACTTTTAGGGGGGTACGTACTATTATTATTCCCATTTTCAAATTCAGAAACTAAGGCAAATAGTTTAAATCATTTGCTCAAGATCACATGGCTTAAGTGACAGAATCATGAGTTGAACCCAGGCAGTCTGGCTCCAGAGTCTATGCTCTTCACCACTGTGATTCACTGCCCACCAGGAGTATCCTTAAGTTACACTACCATATGGTTAAGACCCTACTGCTCTTGGCACCTCCATCGTTATGGCCCTGATCTTCATCACTGGCAGATTATCTTCTAACTTATAGGGAGGTAGGTAGATCTAAGGAAGAGATAAATTACAATTATCGAGGTTGACAGTTAGAAAAAAGAAATGAAAAAGGCAAAGGCACAGAAACCCTAAAAAGAACTAGGTCAAATATAAATGAAAACCAACTAAGAAGGTAGGGCTAAAAATAAAAAAAGAATAAAACCAAACTCCCAAACAGGGCACACAATACAAAATGATCAGGAGAATGAGTGAAATAAACATCTCACACTTTAAGGATATCTGACTCCCAAAACCTGTGATGTGCTATACTCCAAGTAGTTGCAGATGATCATAGACTATGCTAATATTGAGAAAGATACATTTTGCATAATGGACATGGGGACTTGAGCTTCTGTTCTATATTTCCTGGATTAACAGTGTTTTAAGAAATGTTTTGTTCCTTCATCTTTAAATAAACTTCCAATTATTTAGTTTATCTAAAGCTGCCAATAACCAATACTTTGAAAAGATAGTTGTATTTCTCTAAGATGATACTTTTAAGAGTCATTATTCTAAGATGATGGAGCCTGGTGGCACAGCGGTTAAGTGCCGGCTGCAAATGCAAAGGTCTGCAGTTTGAATCCACCAGCCACTCTGTGGGAGAAAGATGTGGCAGTCTGCTTCCAGAAAGATTCACAGCGTTGGAAATCCTATGGGGCAATTCTACCCTGTCCTATAGGGTCACCATGAGTTGGAACTGACTTGACGGCAGTGGGTTTGTATACTAACATGACACAAATATTTTAACTTTACATATTTGAAGAGATTTTAAAATACCATGTTGATGAATTGTGTGAACTGCCTCCAACATATTTTTCCAGTAACTCTTGCGTTCCCAAGGATTGATAGATTTTTTCTTTTTAAGCCAACTATTAAGATCAATATTTCCACACTCCATTACCATGTAGATATACTGGTCTGTGATTTCACTGTAGTTAGAAGCAAAGAAATAAAAGCAACAAAACAATAAATGGTTGGGTTATATTAATTTTTAGTAAGTATTTACCTGAAAAATTATAGCCAAAAAAATTGAGTTTTCTTTTTAAATATTTTTAAAACTTCTTACTAATCATAAAGTCGAATGATCTTATCACTGTGTTGTTGTAGTTTATTCAAATAAGCTATTTCATTCCGGTAACTATCAATAGTTTGGTTATCTGCTTCTTCTAAGTTCACATATTTTATAGCGTGTATCTGTTTCTTTTCATTCAACACCTGAAATACCTATATAATAGGACAAAGAAAAGCATTTAGAATACATTATTTACATACTATCACAATACTTCTAAATTTATTAGAATTTTAGGTTGAGAAAATTCTGAAGGAAATACTGAAATATTGATGAGCAATTAAAAGTTTCTTGGCCTATTGAATATAGAAGGAAAAAAATTAATCAGGATAGGAGAGTAATAGTCCATTCCCAACCAGCTATGACAATGGGCATTCAAAAACTCAAAGATGTAAACTTCAAGGTTTCTATATTAACATGTAAGAAAGGTAATTTAAATTCCATATATGTTCATAACACTGTTGGATGCCTGAACCAGGGAAATAATCTAAAGAAAAAGACATTCAAAAATGATAAGGAAGACTAGGAGCTGCAACAAGAGTCAGTTCACAAGAGTTGTCTTTGGGACACAAAGTCTTAAATGCCTATGAGACACTCAAGAAGAGATACTGAGCAGACAGCTGGATATACCCATTGCTATCGAGTCAATTCTAACTCATAGCGAACATATAGGACAAGGCAGAACTGCCCTATAGGGTTTCCGAGGCTGTAACCTTTATGGAAGCAGACTGCCACATCTTTCTCCCGCAGAGCAGCTGGTGGGTTCGAATCACCAACCTTTTAGTAAGTAGCTGAGCGCTTAACCAATGTGTCACCAGGGCTCCCTCAGTTGTATATACAAGTCTGGAATTCAAGGAAGAGGTCTGAGCTGGAAATATAAGTGTGGGAATTGTCAGCATACATGGTATTTAAAACCATGAGCTGGGATGAGAGCACCACAGTAGTGAGTTTAGAGAAAAAAAAGAAGAGGTCAAGGACTGGGCACTGGGGTACTCCACCAATGAGGTCAGGGATGTGAGGAAGACTGAAAAGGAATGGCCAGTTTAAGAGGAGGAAAACTAAGAAAGGTCAGTTGAATGGAAGAGTTGAGGGCAGGGGATGAGAAGGTGCTTTGGAGAAAAGGTAATACGGGTCTCTAGAAGTTTACAAAGAAGAGCCTCGAAAGGTAAAAAGACAAAGAAAGGAAAGTTTGGAATATTTTTATGCATTTCTTAAGAATTTAAAATACTTACCTTACTTGAACCTCCACTTCCTATCTGCTTCAATACGGAATAAATTCTTCCTTTAATGGTAATGCATTCATTTGTTGAAGAAGATGCTGAAATCTAAATAATAAAAATATGTAAATAAAATTTCAAAGACTATGCTCAAAAAACTAGCCAGTATTCAAAATACTTCCATTTGTGAAATAATCTTAAGTACTTAGGTATTCGTTAAAATATTTTAAAAAGGAACTTATTCTACATGCTTAGTCAAAGAAATAAAATTATTAAATGAACATACAGACAAACTTCCAATGTGTCCCTCAATAATTTGTTTTTACTTAACATGGACACATAAGCCTTGAAGGGAAAAAAAAATTTAACATCCAACATACAAACTCATAAGTTATCATTTTTTATTTTTCCCTTCTACTCTTTTTCATTATATACGCCTGTTTACTTATATACAAACATGTATGTTGTTAGGTGCTGCCGAGTCACTTCCGATTCATAGTGGCCCTATAAACAAAAGAACAAAACACTGCCTGGTCCTGCACCATTCTCACAATCATTGTTAATGTTTAAGCCCATTGTTGCAGCTACTGTGTCAGTCCATCTTGTTAAGTGTTTTTCTCTCTTTCGCTAACCCTCTACTTTAACAAGCATGATATCCTTCTCTAGGGACTGGTCCCTCCTGATAACATGTTCAAAGTACTTGAGATGAAGTCTCGTAATCCTCGCCTCTAAGGAGCATTCTGGTTGTACTTCTTCCAAGACAGATTTGTTTGCTCTTCTGGCAGTCCATGGTATATTCAATATTCTTCAGCGACACCATAATTTAAATGTATCAGTTCTTCTCATATTTTCCTTATCCATTGTTCAGCTTTCGCATGAATATGAGGTGATTGAAAATAACATGGCTTGGATCAGACGCACCTTAGTCATCAAAGTGACATCTTGGCTTTTTAAGATTTTAAAGAGGACTTTTGCAACAGATTTGCCCAATGCAATACATTGTTTGATTTCTTTTTATTTTTAATTTCTATTATTATTGTACTTTAGATGAAGGTTTACAGAACTAGCTTCTCATCAAACAATTAGTACACATATTGTTTTGTGACATTGGTTACCAACCTCACGACATGTCAATAGTCTCCCTTCTCGACCTGGGGATCCCTATTACCAGCTTTCCTGTCCCCTCCTGCCTTCTAGTCCTTGCCCCTGGGCTAGTATGCCCCTTTAGCCTCATTTGTTTTACGGGCCTATCTAATCTTTGGCTGAAGGGTGAATTTCAGGAGTGAACTCATTACTGAGCTAAAAGGGTGTCCGGGGGCCATACTCTCGGGGTCATCGTTTGATTTCTTGACTGCTATTTCCATGGGCTTTGATTGTGGATCTAAGGAAATGAAATCTTTGACAACTTCAATATTTTCCCTGCTGTAAGGATTTTTGTTTTCTTTATGTTAAGGAGTAATCCAAACTGAAAGCTGTGGTCTTTGATCTTCATCAGTAAGTGCTTCAAGTCCTCTTCACTTTCAGCAAGCAAGGTTGTGTCATCTGCATAATGCAATTTGTTAATGAGCCTTCCTCCAACCCTGATGCTGCGTTCTTCTGGTATTCTCTGCTTTCACCCAAGATCTGTCTGACATCAGCAGTGACATCCCTTATTCCTCTTTTGAATCCAGCTTGAATTTCCGGCAGTTTCCTATCAACGTACTAATGCAACTGTTTTTGAATTATCTTCAGCAAAATTTTACTTGTGTGTGATGTTAATGATATTGTTTGATAATTTCTCCATTTTGTTGGCTCACCTTTCCTTGGAATGGGCACAAACATGGATCTCGTCCAGTTGGTTGGCCAGGAAGCTGTCTTCCAAATTTCTTGGCATAGACAGGTGAGTGCTTCCAAGTATTGCGTCCATTTGTTGAACCATCTCGACTTGTACTGCGTCAATTCCTGGAGCCTTGTTTTTTGCCAACACCTTCAGTATAGCTTGAATTTCTTCCTTCAATACCACTGGTTCTTAATCATATGCTACCTCGCAAAATAGTTGAATGTCGACCAATTCTTTTTTGTACAGTGACTGTGTATTTCTTCCATCTTCCTTTGATACTTCCTGCATTGTTCAATATTTTGCCTGTAGAATCCTTCAGTATTACAACTCGAGGCTTGAATTTCTTCTTCAGTTCTTTCAGCTTAAGAAATGCTGAGTGTGTTCTTCCCTTTTGGTTTTCTAACTTCAGGTCTTTGCATATTTCATTATAATACTTTTGTCTTCTCAAGTCACCTGTGTTAGCTATCTAGTGCTGCTATAACAGGAATACCACAAGTGGATGGCTTCAACAAAGAGAAATTTATTCTCTCACAGTCTAGTAGGCTATAAGTCCAAATTCAATAATGTCCCTTTTTTGCTGGGTGATGTTCTACGAGTTACTTAAATTCCCTGAACTTCAGCATCTTCCTTGGTATAACTTTCAACTGATGTACTATACAACTGGATCCCTCATTCCTCCCTTCCCTTATGCTTGGTGTTCCAGCAATTCTGAAAATTGGTAGTTCCTTGAATAGGCAGCTGGGCCTTTGCACATGCTGTAATCCCTGCCTTAACTCAAAGATTTTGTGCATAAAACAGGAATAGAAGGGAAATTCGTAAACATAATTCAGGGCATTTATACAAAGCCAACAGCCAACATCATCTTAAATGGAGAGAGTTTGAAAGCATTCCCCATGAGAACAGGACCCAGACAAGGATGCCCTTTATCACCACTCTTATTCAACACCATGCTGAAGGTCCTAGCCAGAGAAATTAGGCTAGAAAAAGAAATGAAGGGTATACAAATTAGTAAAGAAGAAGCAAAAGTATTTCTATTTGCAGATGATATGATCTTATACACAGAAAACCCCAAAGAATCTATAAGAAAACTACCGGAACTAATAGAAGGTTTCAGCAAAGTATTGGGATACAAGATAACATACAAAAATCAGTTGGATTCCTTTACACTAACAAAGAGAACTTCGAAGAGGAAATCACCAAATCAATACCATTTACAATAGCCCCCAAGAAGATAAAATACTTAGGAATAAATCTAACCAGACATGTAAAAGACCTATACGATGAAAACTACAAGACACTACTGCAAGAAACCAAAAGAGACCTGCATAAGTGGGAAAACATACCTTGCTCATGGACAGGAAGACTCAACATTGTGAAAATGTCAGTTCTACCCAAAGCAGTCTACAGATATAATGCAATCTCAACCCAAATTCCAACGGCATTTTTTATTGAGATGGAGAAACAAATCACCAACTTCAGATGGAAAGGGAAGAGGACCCAGATAAGTAAAGCATTACTCAAGAAGAAAAACAAGGTGGGAGGCCTCATATTACCTAATTTTAGAACCTGTTATACAGCTACAGTAGTCAAAACAGCCTGGCACTGGTACAACAACAGATACATAGACCAATGGAACAGAACTGAGAATCCAGACATAAATTTATCCACCTATGAGCAGCTGATATTTGACAAAGGCCCAAAGTCTGTTAATTGGGGAAAAGACAGTCTCTTTAACAAATAGTGCTGGTATAACTGGATATCCATCTGCAAAAAAATGAAACAAGTCCCATACCTCACATCATGCACAAAAACCAACTCCAAATGGATCAAAGACATAAATATTAAATCTAAAACGATAAAGATCATGGAAGAAAAAAATAGGGACAATACTAGGAGCCCTAATTCTTGGCATAAACAGAATACAAAACATTACTAACGGTGCACAAACACCAGAAGAGAAAGAAACTATATAAATGGGAGCTCCTAAAAATCAAACACTTATGCTCATCAAAAGACTTCACCAAAAGAGTAAACAGACAACCTACAGACTGGGAAAAAATTTTTGGCTACAACAAATCCCATCAGCATCCAGTCTCTAAAATCTACAAGATACTGCAAAACCTCAACAACAAAAAGACAAACAACCCAATTAAAAAATGGGCAAAAGATATGAATAGGCACTTCACCAAAGAAGACATTCAGGTGGCTAACAGACACATCCTGAGGAAATGCTCAGGATCATTCGCCGTTAGAGAAATGCAAATCAAAACTACAATGAGATACCATCTCACCCCAACAAGGTTAGCATTAATCCAAAAAACACAAAATAATAAATGTTCGAGAGGTTGTGGAGAGACTGGAACACTTATACACTGTTGGTGGGAATGTAAAATGGTACAACCACTTTGGAAATCAATTTGGCACTTCCTGAAAAAGCTAGAAATAGAATTACCATATAATCCAGCAATCTCACTCCTTGGAATATATCCTAGAGAAATAAGAGCCATCACACGAATAGATATATGCACACCCATGTTCACTGAAACACTGTTCACGATAGCAAAAAGATGGAAACAACACTAGATGCCCATCAACGGACGAATGGATAAACAAATTATGGTACATACACACAATGGAATACTACAGAACAATAAAGAACAATGATGAAGCTGTGAAACATAACATGGAGGAATCTGGAAGGCATTATGCTGAGTGAATTTAGTCAGTCACAAACTGACGAACATTGTATAAGACCACTATTATAAGAACTCAAGAAAAGGTTCAAACACAGAAGAAAACATTATTCGATGGTTACGAGGGTAGGGAGAGAGGGAAAGGGGTATTCACTAGCTAGATAGTAGGTAAGAATTATCTTAGGTGAAGGGAAGGACAATACACACTACAGGGGAAGTCAGCACAACTGGACTAATCCAAAGCTAAGAAGTTTCCTGAATACAACCAAACACTTCGAGGGACAGAGAAGCAGGGGCAGGGGTCTGGGGACCATGGTTTCAGGGGACATCTAGGTCCACTGGCATAGCAAAGTTTATTAAGAATATGTTCTGCATCCTACTTTGGTGAGTGGCGTCTGGGGTCTTAAAAGCTAGCGAGCGGCCATCTAAGACACATCAATTGGTCCCAGCCCACCTGGAGGAAAGGAGAATGAATAACATCAAAGACACAAGGAATGTATTAGCCCAAGAGACAGAAAGGGCCACCTAAACCAGAGACTCCATCAGCCTAAGATCAGAAGAACTAGATGGTGCCCAGCTACCACCAATGACCGCCC